TGAGGTGAGTGGAGGGAGGGGTGATAGTGAAGGGAGGGTTAGGTGACGGCGAAGTGATAGTGAGATGACGGTGAAGATTTTGAAGTCTTCCTTGCACAAATTGCACCGAACAGACACACACACACACACACACAAACACACACACACACACACACACACACACACACACACACGCGCACACACACACACACACACACACACACACACACACACACACACACACACACACACACTACTTTCACTAATCCTTCATTATCATAATTAAGCGGTAACGACCTAATTAACGACCCAATTAACGACCACCACAATTAACGACCCACAATAAACCATAAATAACCCAAAATGGCGGCTAATATGTCTTAATACTACAGAGTTGACATATTCTTATAATCTCAAAACTGGTAAATCTCTGTCTATCTATCTGTCTGTGTTTCCCTTTATTCTCATCTCTCCTCCCTTTCTCTCTCTACTCTTTAAATTACCCTCCATCTCCTTTTCCTTTACTTCCCTCCATCTTACATTATCTCCCTCCTTCCCTAATGCCCTTCTCACCCTCCCTCACCTCCCTCCTCCTTAGGGCCCCCTCCTCCCTTACCCAAGACCTCCTCCATCCCTCCCTCTCTCCTCAGCCCCCTCCCTCTCTCCTCAGCCCTCCCTCCCTCCCTCCTCAGCCCCTCCTCCCTCTCTCCCTCAGCCCCCTCCCTCTCTCCTCAGACCCCCTCCCTCCCTCTCCTGCCCCTCCCTCTCCCTCTCTCCTCAGCCCTCCTCCCTCTCTCTTCCTCAGCCCCCTCCTCTCTCCCTCAGCCTCCCTCTCTCCTCAGCCCCCTCCCTCCTCCTCCCCACGGTTCAGCTTCCACCTGTAATTCGGAACCGATATAAAAACTGCTAATAATGCACCTGTCTTGATGCTGGGGCTAATTAGTCCAGGTAACTGATTGGCTCTGTGTATGTGTGTGTGTGTGTGTGTGTGTGTGTGTGTGTGTGTGTGTGTGTGTGTGTGTGTGTGTGTGTGTGTGTGTATGTGTGTGTGTGTGTGTGTGTGTGTGTGTGTGTGTGTTGATATTGTTAGTTTGTTTTACATAGAAAGAAAAAATATATAAAAAAAACAGAGAAAAAGACAGATAAAAAACACTAAGATAGACAGAAAAGGCAGACAGACAGACAGACAGACAGGAGGAGACAGACGTACTGTAAGGTTACGACACAACACTAGAGAACCATTAACACGGGTCACAGTTGGTCCTCTGAGAGCCTTTTAGTAGTGTAAGGGGTTGTACACACACACACACACACACACACACACACACACACACACACACACACACACACACACACACACACACACACACACACACACACACACACTGGTATTCCCTTCCTCTTCTATTTCCATCCTCCTTTCTTCCACTTTCATTATTCTTCCATTCTTTTTCTCTCTCTCTTAATTTTTCTTTCTACACAACCTTCCAATAATCCTCCTCTCCTCTCCCTCCTCTCCTTCAAACCTTTTTCCTCTCTCCCTCTCCCTCTCTCACCTCTTACTCTCTCCCTCTCTCTTCTCTCTCACACTTTTATTTTTCATATACGTTCTCCTCTCCCATTCATTTACCTTTCCTTTCCTTCCTTCAACCATTACCCTTCCTTGACTCTCCCACATAACCCTCCTCCCTCTTGCTTCCTCTCCTTTCCTCCCTCCTCCTTTCTTCCCCTTCCCCTCTTCTTCCTCTCCCTTCTCCTCCTTTCTTCTCCCCTTTCCCCTCTTGTTTCCTCTCCTTCCTCCCTCCCCCTCTCCCTTTCCCCTCTTGCTTCCCTCTCCCTTACCTCCCTCCTCTTTCTCTCCCTTCCCCTCTTGCTTCCTCTCCCTTTCCTCCTCCCCCCTCTCCCTTCCCCTTCTTGCTTCCTCTCCTTTTCCTCCCTCCCCTCTCCCCCTTTCCCTCTTGTTTCCCTTTCCTCCTTCCCCTTCACACCCTCCTCCATCTATCCCTTCCCTCCTTCCGTCTCCCTCCTCATTTCCTTTCTCCTCCCTCACTCCTCTTTCAATCACGTCTCCCTCCTGCTCCCCTTCTCTCTTCCTCTTCCTCACTCCCCCACTCCCTCTTCCTTTATCCCTCTCCTCCACAATAATACACAAGAGGTGACGGCCGTAAAATTCTACCATAAAAAAAAATTCTATTGAACAGCGACAACTTGGGGCGTACCGGAAACGTCACCATCTCCAAAAGCTGTTGAGGAAGGGAAGGTGTTGTTGGACTTGATGTACAAATTGGACTTTTAAGGCGTGAAGAATAAGGATACCAGTGGGGATAGTATTGGACTTTGGACGTGGGGGATAGTATTGGACTTTGGACGTGGGGGATAGTATTGACTTTGGACGGGGGATAGTATTGGACTTTTGGACGTGGGGATAGTATTGACTTTGACGGGGATAGTATTGACTTTTGGACGGGGGGATAGTATTGACTTTGGACGGGGATAGTATTGACTTTGGACGTGGGGATAGTATGACTTTTGACGGGGGATAGTATTGGACTTTTGGACGTGGGGATAGTATTGACTTTTGGACGTGGGGATAGTATTGACTTTTGGACGTGGGGGATAGTATTGGACTTTTGGACGTGGGGATAGTATTGACTTTGGACGTGGGGGATAGTATTGGACTTTTTGGACGGGGATAGTATTGGACTTTTGGACGTGGGGGATAGTATTGACTGACGTGGGGTAGTATGACTTTGGACGTGAAGTATTGACTTGTGGGGGATAGTATTGGACTTTGAACGTGGAGGATAGTATTGGACTTTGGACGTATGGGATAGTATTGGACTTCTGGACGTGGAGGACCAACTTCAGAACTCTTACATGCTCAAATGGTTGGACTTGATGCTTGGATAAGACTTTTGGACGTCCTTCCACACATCCTTCCTCATCCTCTCATTCACCACACCCTCCACCTCTCTCACCCCACACACCCTCCACCCTCTCCCATTCACCGCCTCCCCCTCATTCACCCACGCCCTCCCCACCTCTCATTCCCCACACACCTCCCCTCTCATTCACCCACACCTCCACCCTCTCACCCACCTCCCACCCTCTCATTCACCCACCCTCCACCTCTCATTCCCCACACCCCTCCCACCCCTCTCATCATGCTTATGTTCCCAATACATCCACCACTTTCTACACCCACATACTCACTTTCTCCCCAAACCCCTAACCACCTACCCGTTCATCCATCTCCACCCACACCCCTACCAATCATTCATCTACCCCACTTCTACCCATCTCACCAACCATCCACCCTAGTACTTCCACACCCACATGGTCTCTCTTCCCCCCCATCATCCTATCACCACCCCACCCCACCCCCACACACCTCTAGCGTCTACAAAGAACATTATCTAACTCAGCAGACACATTAGAATTTCAAGACAGAATTCAAAAAAAAAGACGCAGAAAAACTTAAAATTGGATTTGCAACAAAGCTCTCTCTCTGTGTGGATGGAGTTGGGCGGTATGATAGTGCATGTGAGTCTCTTCCTTCTCTCTGGGAGTCTCTGGGGTGAGGGGAAGGGGAGGGAGAGGGGGTGGGGGGGTGGGGGAGTGAATTGATCTTCTTCTCTCTCGGGGATTTGGGGAGATGGAGGTGTGTTGTGACCTCCTTCCTTCTGTCTGGGAGTCTCTGGGGTGGGGGGTGATTTTGAGTCTTCTTTCTGGGGGTTTAAGGGGATGGAAGAGCATGTGAGCCTTCTTCTCTCTGGGGGTATAAGAGTGTGAAGGGTGGAAGGTGTGTCTACAAGTTTCCTCCTTCTCTCGGGAATCTCTGGGGTTTAGGGGATGGAGTGTGTGTTATGAGCCTCCGCCTCCTCTCGAGGAATCTCTGGGGTTTAGGGGTGTCAAGGAGATGAAGAAATGGAGGATGTCTGCAAGGTTCCTCCTTTTCTCTGGGGGTTTAAGGGGTGAGGGGATGTGTTCTCAGGGTTCGAGACAAAGGAGACCGGAATTAATATGTATAAGTCAGGGGCCGAGGAGGGAAGGAGGAGAGGAGGAGAGGAAGAGAGGTAGAGAAGGAAGGAAAGAAGGGAGGGAGGAGGAAGAGGTAAGGAGGAGGAGGAAAGAGTGGGGGAGGAGGAGGAAAGGAAGGGGGAAGAGGCGAGAAAGGGGAGGAAATAATAGGGGGAAGGAAGACAAGAGAACAGAGGACAGGAGAGGAAGAGGAGGGAAAAGGAAGAAAGGAGGAGGGAGGAAGAGGAAGGAGGAGAGTGTTGGGGAGGAGGGAGGAGGGGGGTTGAGAGGAGGAGGTGGGGAGAGGAGAGTAGTGGGGAGGAGGCGTGGGAGGGAGGAGGGGTGTGGGAGGGTGTTGGAGGTAGTGTTGGGAGGAGGTAGTGTTGGGAGGGAGGAGGTGTGGGGGGCGGTGTGGGGAGGAGGAGAGTGTTGGGAGGAGGGGCTGGGGTTGGGAGGAGGAGGAGGTGTGGGGAGGGTGTTGGGGAAGGAGGAGCAGGGTTGGGGAGGGAGGAGTAGTGTTGGGAGGAGGTAGTGTTGGGGAGGGCAGGGTTGGGGAGGGATGAGGGGTGTGGGGGGAGGGTGTTGGGGAGGAGGGTGGTGGTGGAGGAGGTGGTGTTGGGGAGGGGAGGGCGGGGTTGGGAGGAGGTAGTGTTGGTGGAGGGAGGTAGTGTTGGGGGAGGGAGGAGCGGGGTTGGGAGGAGGAGTGTTGGTGGAGGGAGGTAGTGTTGGTGGAGGGAGGAGTAGTGTTCAGGAGAGGCAGGGGTTGGGGATGGAGGGTGTGGGGGAGGGGGTGTGGGGACACATATGTTACAAGCATGTAATGTCTGGGGGCACTTTTCTCCTGCTGTGTGTGTGTGTGTGTGTGTGTCTGAGGAAGCCGGGGTGCAGTCACTGTGTTGATAATTTTTTTGCTGTGTTGGTGTGTGTGTGTGGTGCTGGGAGCTGTGGTGCTGGGGCTGTGGTGCTGGGGCTGTGGTGCTGGGGCTGCGGTGCTGGGCCACGTGCTGGGAGCTGTGGTGCTGGAAGGCTGGCTGCTGGGGCTGTGGTGCTGGAAGCTGCGGTGCTAGGGCTGCGGTGCTGGGAGCTGTGGTGCTGGGGCCGGTGCTGGGAGCTGTGGTGCTGGAAGCTGCGGCTGCTGGGAGCTGTGGTGCTGGGTGTCTGGGAGCTGTGGTGCTGGGGCTGCAGTGGGAGTGCGGGAGCTGCGGTGCTGGGGGCTGTGGTGCTGGGAGCTGTGGTGCTGGAAGCTGGTGCTGGGAGCTGTGGTGCTGGGGCTGCGGTGCTGGGGCTGCGGTGCTGGGGCTGTGGTGCTGGAAGCTGTGGTGCTGGGAGCTGTGGTGCTGGGGCTGCGGTGCTGGGGCTGTGGTGCTGGGCTGCGGTGCTGGGAGCTGTGGGCTGGTGCTGGGGCTGTGGTGCTGGAAGCGGCGGTGCTGGGAGCTGTGGTGGGAGCTGTGGTGCTGGGCTGCAGTGCTGGAGGTGCTGGGAGCTATGGTGCTGGGCTGCGGTGCTGGAGCTGTGGTGCTGGGAGCTGCGGTGCTGGAACTGTGGTGCTGGGAGCTGTGGTGCGGGAACTGTGGTGCTGGAAGCTGCAGTGCAGGAGCTGTGGTGCTGGGACTGGGTGCTGGGAGCTGTGGTGGCGGGAGCTGTGGTACTGGGAGCTGTGGTGCAAGTTGCAGTGGGGTGCTGGGTGCTGGGGCTGCGGTGCTGGGGCTGTGGTGCTGGGAGCTGTGGTGCTGGGAGCTGCAGTGCAGGGGCTGTGGTGCTGGAGCTGCGGTGCTGGGAGCTGCGGTGCTGGGCCTGGTGCTGGGCTGCGTGCTGGGGCTGTGGTGCTGGGAGCTGCGGTGCTGGGAGCTGTGGTGCTGGGAGCTGTGGTGCTGGGGCTGGTGCTGGGAGCTGTGGTGCTGGGAGCTGTGATGCTGGGAGCTGCGGTGCTGGGAGCTGTGGTGCTGGGCTGTGGTGCTGGGGCTGTGGTGCTGGGAGCTGTGGTGCTGGGAGCTGTGGTGCTGGGAGCTGCGGTGCTGGGAGCTGTGGTGCTGGGGCTGTGGTGCTGGGAGCTGTGGTGCTGGGAGCTGTGCTGGGAACTGCGGTGCTGGGAGCTGTGGTGCTGTGAGCTGCGGTGTGCTGGGAGCTGTGGTGCTGGGAGCTGCGGTGCTGGGAGCTCTGGTGCTGGGAGCTCTGGTTCTGGGAGCTGCGGTGCTGGGAGCTGTGGTGCTGGGAGCTGCGGTGCTGGGAGCTGCGGTGCTGGGAGCTGTGGTGCTGGGAGCTGTGGTGCTGGGGCCTGGTGCTGGGAGCTGTGGTGCTGGGAGCTGCGGTGCTGGGAGCTGCGGTGCTGGGGCTGTGGTGCTGGGGCTGTGGTGCTGGGAGCTGCGGTGCTGGGAGCTGGTGCTGGGGCTGTGGTGCGGGAGCTGCGGTGCTGGGAGCTGTGGTGCTGGGGCTGTGTGATACTGCGACGCTGAATGCTGTGAGAACCTGATGCTACCAATATTGTGCTGCTGTGAGAGGTCTATGAGTGCTGTGTAGGCGTCTGTGACAGGATGCAGTACACTTGTCCAGACTCGTACACCTCCACCACCGTATACTGTGAGTCTCTCTCTCTCTCTCTCTCTCTCTCTCTCTCTCTCTCTCTCTCTCTCTCTCTCTCTCTTTCTCTCTCTCTTTCTCTCTGTCTCTCTCTCTCTCTCTCTTTGTACACTTAGTAGAAAATATCAGTTTCTCTCTCTACTATCTGGAAGAGAGAGAGAGCAACCACTCTCTTCCTCAGGACAACATGACTATAGTTTCCAACGTTAGTATCCGGTTCACGACTTCCATAATCAAACCAACGGAACTATCCATCAAACTCCCCCCTCTCCCTCCTCCTCTAAACACACATACGGTCCATAAGATTATCCTTACCTCACAGAGAACCCAACCATATGGACTGATAGGGGTCGGGGGCAATACAGTGCTATGAGTAAGCAGGCAGGCAGGCAGGCAGGTCAGGGTTGGGTGGGGTGGGGAGGGCTGTGGGGTGGGGTTGGTGGGGTGGGTGGGGTGGGGTGGGGAGGTACTGTGGGGTGGGGTGGGGTGGGGTGGGTAGGTAGGGTAGGGGCTCTTCCATGCACTCTTTAATGACGTAATTCCTCCATTTATTATTGAGTTAATGAGTCTTACAGATGACCTAGAATGTCCCAGGTTAGTGACGTCATCTGTCGTTAGGAGGCTATAGTTTCCAGTTAATGTAAGCGTTAAGGACGAGTTAACGACCTCGGCGGATTAAGTACCAATTTTATCGCATATTTCATCTCCTGAGGCCTATTTGCTGGTGATGGTTGGGAAATAGGTAGGAGTGATGGTAGTGAAATAGGTTAGGTTAGGGTAGGTTAGGGTAGGTTAGGGTAGGTTAGGGTAGGTTAGGTGAAATAGTGATGATGGAGATTAAGATTACATGTTTGGTTATATTAGGATATCTTTTCTCTCTCTCTCTCTCTCTCTCTCTCTCTCTCTCTCTCTCTCCTCTCTCTCTCTCTCTCTCTCTCTCTCTCTCCCTACCGTCTTCTTACTCCCTATTCTTCTTTCCTTTCACTACACTTTCTCCTGCCCCATCCTTCACCCTCCCCCACCCCCACCCCAAACTCCCCTTTTAATTCTCCCCACCATCACCCTCCTCCTCCCACCTCCTACACACCCCCCCTACCCAAACCTCCTCTCCACTCCACCCACCTCCCACATTCCCCAGTCCTCATTTCCCATTCCCCCACACCCCCCTACCCACTCTCCTATCACCCCACCCCTCCCACATTCCCCCCTCCTCATTTCCACATTCCCACCCCCCCCTACCCACCTCCTCTCCTATCCTCCCACTCCCCCTCCTCCTTCCCACACTCCCCACCCCCCTCCCCAGCAATCAGCCCCCCACCAGGCAAGGCAGCTCCTTGATGCTCGCCAAATGGAAATAGCTTATGCAACTGTAGCAATTAGTCGCTGCAATTCCCAGCGTTGATTGCACTCCGCCTCCGCTAAAAGCACAGCTAACGCAGCGATGAACACAGCTGGAGGTGTGAAGCGAGACGCAGCATAACTAACACACCGTCGAACACAGCTAACACAGCAATCAAAACAGCAATACATGTAAAATGCAACACAGCAACGAATCTCACCCGAACTACAAACACTCATTTAACATAACCTGCAGTAATGCTCACAACACCATCTAAAATACAGCCAGGCACTGATCATCGCTCGTGCAGGCGTTTAGGTTTTACCTGAGGAGAGGAGAGGTGGAGGGGGAGGGGGTGATGGACTCGTATGCTGGTCTGGTAAACAAAGGCACAATTGGATTTGTTGTGTTGTCACTGTCTCTCTGTTACCTCACTAAAGCCTCTGTAAAATTTTATTGTGTTAAATAAGTCACTAAATGGATTTGGCAAGTCCATTATACTAGAGTTGTTTGAGTGCTACTACTACCTATTACTGGTACTACTTCTACTACTACTATTTTTTTTTTTTTTTTTTTTTGACAGCCTCAAGTCCCCAATAGCCACACCTTGCCGCCATTTATTTACCTTAATATTAAATATCCTATAATAAGAAGCTATCCTATCTGTGTTAAATTAGTTGAGCCGCAGATCTATGCGGCATTCACTGTAGCCTCATAGTCAATATCTGCAGGATTGTCGGGTAGGGGCAGAAGCTCGTTCCTGAGGCAGAGCAAAGCCGACCGAAGGAGAAGAACAGTCGACATCTCATCCAGGCTGTAACATAACTTCTGGGCTGCTGCTTCTGTTCGGAGATCAGCCCTCGAGTCTGGCGTAGAAACATCTTGCCGGCCATCCACCCGAGGTTGTGAACACTAGAGGTGAAGCTGCCTTGATCAACACTTTGAATTCTCTCCCCATATGCTCTCTTGTCGTTCTCGTTCCTCCTATGCGCAGCATCGAGATGGTTACGGTGACAAACGGCCATGGGATCAAAATCCTGATGTCGAAAGCTCGCTGTCCCCGCGTCCAGAATCCTCGAGCACTGACGTCCACACGGGTTTCGTTAAAGTGTTTGAAGTCCTATGTTGGAAGATCTCGCCATCCAGTGGAAGGAGGTCGGTTCTACCATGACGTCCCGGCAGATTTCCTTCAACATATTTGCTGTGAGATCCTTACCTCGTCATGCCTCATGCATATGAAGCCCCCCTTCTTGCAGACCATGGCGTGATCACAAATATAGGAAGAAACCCACAAGCATTGGGAGGCAAACCATCTACTACCAACCAATACCTTAGAGCAATGGCATCTGTAAATTCGTGTTTGTTAAGGCTGAAACCATTTGCCCTTATCGGTAACGTAGTTAACCAGTTCGACGCCCTCCTGCGCTATAGCTACTTCTACTTCTACTACTACTACTACTACACTACTACAAACGTGGCCTCCATCCTCAATAGCCACACCTTCGCCGCCATTTATTACTTTAAAATTAAATATCCTAATACATAAGTAGCTAAATACATAAGCAACTATCGCCACCATTATTTAAATTAGTTGAGCACGCGAATCGATCTCGCGGCATTCGATGACTGTAGCCTCATAGTCGATGTCTGCAGCAGTTGACGGGTAGGGCGAAGCTCTCGTTCCTGAGGCAGAGCAAAAGCCGACCGAAGGAGAGAGAAGGACGGTCGACATCTCATCCAGGGGCTGTGACATAACTTCTCGGGCTGCTTCTGTTCGGAATCAGCTCCGCGAGTCTGGGCGTACTGCAAAACATCTTTAACGCTTGGGCCATCCGCAGAGGGTTGTGAACACCAGCCCGAATTGAAGCACCTTGATCGACATTTTGAATTCTCTCCCCACCATGCCCTTCTCTTGTCGTTCTGGAACCTCTGCGCAGCATCGAAGGCCTTCGTTACGGTGAGCAAGCGGCCATGGGATCAAATCCTGATGTCGAAGAAGGCTCGCTGTCGCGTCCAGAATCCTCGAGCACTGACGTCTACGGGCCGTTAGATGTGTTTGAAGAGTCCTGTGTTGGAGGATCTCGCCATCCAGTGGAAGGTCGGTTCTACCATGACGTCCGGCGTTCCGCTAAACATATTTGCTGTGAGAGATCCCTTACCTCGTCATGCCTCATGCATAACAAGCCCCCCTTCTTGCAAACCATGGCGTGATCGCCATCGCTCGGAATAGCCACACATTGGGGAGGGCAAACCATCTACTGGCCAACCGTACATAGAGGCAATAGCGTCACCAGAATTCTTGTTTTGTTAAGGCTGAAACCATTGCCCCGCCCATATTGTATCAGTTAACCAGTTCGAGGCGCCACCTCCTGCGCTATAGCTACTTTTTGTCCATGAATTTTCTGGAACCTGCAGCAACTAGTTGCTGCAACATGTCGACTGGCAGTGCTGCCGATCTGTTGTAATGGATCTCTGATCTTATTAACTTCGCTAGTGTAACTTCTACTACTACTACTACTACACTACTACTTTTTTTTTTAAACGTGGCCTCCATCACTCCCCCAATAGCCGCCATTTATTACTTTAAGAACAATATTCCTAATACATAAAAGTAGCTATCCTAACATGTTGGAGTTAGTTGAGCCGCCGATCTATCGGCATTCAGTAACTATAGCCTCATAGTCAATATTATCTGCAGCTGCTGTAAGTTTGGAGCCCAATGCTCTCGTTTCCCTGAGCAGAGCCAGCAGACCCTAAGGAGAGAGAAGGACAGTGACATCTCATCCAGGCTGTAACACCAACTTCTGGGCTGCTGCTTCTGTTGGAGATCACCTCCATAAGTCTGGGCGTAGAAGCATCTTGCGCTTGGTCCCATCCACCGGTGCATGAACACCAGAGGTGAAGCGGCCTTGATCAACGTTCTGAATTCTCTCCCGTATGCCCTTATCTTGTCCGTTCTCGTTCCTCCTGTGCAGCATCGAGGCAAGTTACGGTGACATGCAGCCATGGGATAAAATCCTGATGTCGAAGAAGGCTGTCGGCGTCCAGAATGCTCGTGCACTGGCACGTCAACACGGGCTTCGTTGGATGTGTTTGAAGAAGTCCTATGGAAATTCTCACCGTCAATGGAAGGGAGGGTCGGTTCTATCCATGACATCACGACGGAATTTCCTTCAACATATTGCTATGAGATCCCTTACTTCGTTATGCCTCATGCATAGGCCCCTTTCTTGCACACCATGGGCGTGATCGACGTCATAGGAAAGCCACACACGCATTGGGAGGGCAAACTTTCTGCACAACCATACCTTAGAACAATGGCATCCTGTAAATTCTTGTTTAGCCAGGACTGAAACCATTGCCCTTATCGGTAACGTAGTTAACCAGTTCGAGCGCCCACCTCCTGCGTGATAGCTACTTTTTTGTTCCTGCTTCTCTGGTACTTGCAGCAGCAGTTGCTGCAACTTATCACTGGCTGTGCTGTCGTTCTATCGTAATGGACCATCGAATCTTGTTTTACTTCGCTGGTATCCACCTCCTCTCGCGTTCTGTGAGCGTATGTGGTCAGTGAGGGGCTGCTGGCTGAGCTTAACTGAGTTTGATGTTCGGTGGCAGCAATTTCCTCTGGATTGGTCATTCCCATTCCTCCCAGTCTCGGTGGTAGTGCAAGGAGTGATCTTTTCTGCTGGGATTAAGTAAGATGTTTCACCTAATTTGGGAATAGAAATTGACGCTGATAACTTTCAGAGAATTGGAGGGAGGGGTCCGACATCAGGGGATAGAGCGCATCAGGTAGTTCAGCGATGCTTGACTCTAGGGAATTGAATGCCGCAAAAAGCCGCATGTGGCTCTGTGTTAGTAATCTCAGACAGAGCTTGGATTTCCCTAACCACTCATTCACCTTTCCCGTTGATACTCGGTCTTGAAGTCCGTCGTGCCGATTACTGCGCCTAGGTGTCTTTGGCCATCCTTTGTTATTTTGATCTCCCTTCCACTAGAACACCTCCATTGCCCGTTCATAATGTTCTGGCTTCACAATGAGGAGACTTGCTGGCGTTTGGGTTATACCCGGCCCCATGGATTTTTGTGATGTTATCAAGTCCCACCACCTTTGATGTCCTCCTTTTCCTCTCCTGTAAGGTCATCAGCGTACGCCACTTGCTTGAGCCTCGGTTGCTAAATTTAATGTGTGTGGGGCACTGGTAGAATACTATTGCATATTGCCATTACAACAGGGTCCCCCTGCCCCATTCCTATTGACTGTATGATGGTATCACCTCTTAGGGCCTTGTTTACTATATAAGGTCTGATGGATTCCTATAAGTGTGCTTATACATTGCAACAGACACTTGATTTTGCGTATTGTGCAGTGCTGCCCCTTGCGGTTAAGTATGTTGAATGCGTTGGAAGTGTCAACCTTGGGGAGAACGGCCTCTAATCCCGCTGCTCAAATATATCGTTCTCATGGCATGAATGGCGGCCCCTCCAGCCTGGTGGCCAGCACAAACCTTAGGTTCCCTGCCTTTGCCCTGACATCATCCTTTACCACCTCCATTATGCATATTCCGATGATCCGCCTCAGCACTCCCTCACCCCCTATACAGGTGGGCCCTACATCTGGATTCTTATCCAGGGGAATGAGGCAGCAGGCAAATGAGCAGTGTTGGCAGCACGAGGTTCTAGCTTTCTTGCAAGGGCAGCAATGGAATTCTGAGATCCTGCTCAGGCGCCAAGCTGTTAGTGCTGAGAAGACTCTCCAGCCGTTTTATCCAGACCTGAGGCCTTTTCTCCTGGGTCTTCGTCCTTTTCACCATACTCCTGTTATTTTCTCGAACAGGACAGCATTTGATGAGATATAGTCACCACAGACTGGTGCTTCCTCTTCAATTGGGGATGTTGCCTTGATTGTTTTAATATCTCTCTGTTTATTGGCAGAACACCACCGGAGATTTCTCTGTGAGATCTTGCCAAGAGACACTTTTCCACACGTATTTTGTTTCCAAACTTTCTTGCAATATCATCAGTGTTTTTGCTTTCCTTCCTCCTATAGATTTTAGTCTCTAGTGTTCTTGCTTCACATAAGAGATCATCAAAGGCCCCATTCTGCATTGTCAATCTTCTCTTTATTGCTGCCGCATATTCTTTGGTCTTAGTCTTTGTGTGTGTCCTCAAGAGGCCGATGTTAGTGTGTGCGAGTGTTAAGGCTAAAGGGGTGAGAAGCAGTCCTGAAGGTAAATCAGTTATGGGGCGAATCATCTCCCGAATCATTTCTTTTGTGTACTTACGCGGGTGGTTCAAACAGGTTAGCTGGTACTGGCAATGATTTCTGGAAGTAAGTTTCTTTAACCCGCTATGTCACGTTTTCCATCGACATGCCATTCCACTGTGGTGACTGTCTCTCATTCACCTCGTGGACATCTGTTACCTATTAGACAGCGTTTATTGGTACTACATTTTCAGGTTGAGTAGACTCACTGCTATCATTTAGGTATTTAGGATATCGTAGACGGTTGAGTCGGCGATATCCATTAATGACATCCTGTGTCGGCTCCGCATGTGGGATCCGACAGTTATTTCCCTACTGCAAACCACACATGGTCGGTTGTTTCTTGTACAATCACAGCTAGTGCAATTTGGTTCTGGATAGCATAGACGCAACAATGTCTGTTACTCGGCGCCGTGTTCACACTTCGGGCGACAGTTAAAATCCGCCTCCGACATCTGCTTTGGTCCCTACAGAAGAAACTACTACTACTATTGCTACTACTACTAATAATTATAATAATAAAAACAATAACAATAAAACAAAAAAAAAATCACACTAGTAGATACACAGTAGTAAACCAGTAGACAAGTAGACAAAATGCTGTAGTGTAGTAGACGAGGAGGTTGAACAGAGCAGTCCATCAGGTGCGGGTGTTGACACTGGCCCTCAGCTGATATGAGTCCTGATTGGCCACTAATATTAAAATACTAAATCAATATTTTTTTTTTCCGGGATGGGCCAACCGTCCAGCGACCGTCAAAGGTTTAAAAATACATGTTTCTAGTGTGTTGATTTGGGAAAAGTTGTAGTGGTGGTGGTGATGGAGGGTGAGAGTAGGAGGGAGGGAGAGAGAGGGAATAGGGGTGTTAGAGAGGTAGGTAGGGAGGGAGGGAGGGAGAGAGAGAGGGAGTGGTGGTGTTAAAAGGGTAGGGAGAGAGTAGGAGGAAGGAGGAGAGGGAAGAAAGGGAGTAGAGGTGTTAGAGGGTAGGGAGGAGGTAGGGAGAGGGAGTGTGGGTGTTAGAGGGAGGGAGGAGGGAATGGAGATGTTAGAAGGAGGAGGAGGTAGGAAGATAGGAATGGTGGTGTTAGAGGGAAGGTGAATGGAAGAGGAAGGGTAGATGGATGGATGGCGGGTGGACATGAGAGAGAGAGAGAGAGAGAGGTGATCAAGCACTATAACTCTACCCTCGTTCCACTAACACTAACTACACAGCATTACTCACCCTTGACCTTTCACTGGGGTCAACAAATTCGTTCCCTACAGATAGTTGACCCAGTACACTAAATAGCGAGAACTGTTCACCTACGTATTTGTGTTCATAAGACTTGATCAAACTAACAAAAAAAAGGAAAAAGAACAGAATTTGACATTTATAAAAAATTTTGTTTGTGTTTACTGTTTACACACTATAATGGTATTTAGTAACATGATGGTGTGTGTGTGTGTGTTATGTGTGTGTGTGTGTGTGTGTGTGTGTGTGTGTGTGTGTGTGTGTGTGTGTGTGTGTGTGTGTGTGTGTGTGTGTGGATGTGTGTGTGTGTGTGTGGATGTGTGTGTGTGTGTGTGTATGGATGTGTGTGTGTGTGTGTGTGTGTGTGTGTGATGCAAGCCTCATGCCTCTGTGATCCCCAAATGGTGTCAAAGCCATGGGCAGATCTGTGGAATTTGGGAAAAATTTCACCATGGAACCAGCTGGTGTGTGTGTGTGTGTGTGTGTGTGTGTGTGTGTGTGTGTGTGTGTGTGTGTGTGTGTGTGTGTGTGTGTGTGTGTGTGTGTGTGTGTGTGTGTGTGTAATAATAATAATAATAATAATTAACGGTTTATTGAAAGAGCTTGGCGCCAGAAGGCTGAAAATATACAGTTACATATTTGGGGAATGGGTTACGAATTACAAATAATAAAAGTAACATAGTGACACAAATAAGACATGTAATAACTAGATGTGGAAAAGCTCAAACTACAGTTCATTTCAACATAGTGACAGTGTAAGGGCAGTGTTTACTGGGGTAAATACACTGATTTATTACAAGTTATTGATAATTTTACAATGGTTGGGACTGGGTTTTTTATAGCGATCAGTTCGTGCACGTATGGGCTGGATGCGGTTGTGGTGTCGAACAGCAATTCTCGGACAAGGATCTCAGGTGGTAGTAGGAGCCGGTGTCGGGATGGTGTAAAGCTTCTTACAAATTTGCAGATGAGGTCGTGGTGATGGTCAGTGAGAGTCGAAAGGGTCAGTGTGTTGAGCGCTTCTTGATATGTGGAGTAGGAAGGGAGAGAATAATCTTGCATGCCCTCTTTTGCACTTTTCTAGGTGTTTACGTTGTGTGTTAGGAGGAAGACCAGGTGGGGGAGGCATAGGTGAGCTTGGGGAAGTATAGATGTTGTGTAAACACTGAGGCTCGTGTGCAGGAACTCTGAGGGACTTGAGTCGGCGGAGGAGGTGGAGACGAAACTGGAGGATTTGATAACTTCACTGACGTGTGGTTTCCAATTTAGTTTGTTGTCTATGGTGACGCCGAGGAGCTTCGTGGAATCTACAACCTGGAGTGTGTTCGGACCTAGAGTAATGGAAGGAGGTGGGACAATGTCGGAGGAGAGGTTGAT